GATGACGCCATAACAGCGATGAAACCATCGTTTTGAGCAGGTAAATGTGTCTGAGTTCTTCTTGCTTTATCAAATGATTTGTAAAATGGAATTTGGAGCTGGGTTGAGCACTTCATAACTCGGAAAGAACCGCTACAAATTGTTCAATCTTCATTTTAACTCTAGCACATTCACCAACAAACCAGGTATCCATAATTCGCTCTAAAAGAACAGGCTGTGTGCCCTAGTTGGGACCGCGACGCGGCTGCGTTGCGCATGACATTGAATTGAAGCGTGCATGCTATTTGATTTGGTGGCCTAGTGCACCATTAACGAAACGCATCATTTACATTTAAAAAATCTTTCAGCATTGACTAGAAATCTTGGAGTCCGTCAGAAAACAGCGAAGAATTCTTGTCACTGATTATTTCATACGCTCTAGCATTACCTGTCCACTGTTTGTGTCTTTCTGCCCGTCTCTGTTCGGGAAGTGCACTTATTTGCATGCGAACGGCATTGATTAGCAAGTGAACACTGTAAGGTCACATCCATGATTTTTGGTTTTTGGCCCTGGCATCATCCTCCAATGCATTTTTCATTTTGAACTATTCGTCAGCTTTGTATCACTTTTGGAATATAACGAAATCAATTAATTTGCAGATATGGCTGATGCCGTTGCTGCTCCTGCAGCACAGGTATGTGTTATTCATTTTATTCACTATCATGTGGAATGAATTAAAATTCTTCAGTTTATAACGTGTTGGTGTTTAGTACTGTTTTATATCAACGTTCTCTTTAACACGTTATACCAGCAGTATAAAATATTTCGTTTAGAAGCTGTGCAGATTCAGGTTTATTTAAGAGGGAAATAGATTGTTTCAATCTCGATTATCCGCGCTGAAGGCGTAAGAAGCTATCGATTGAAAGAAGTCCGATAATGACTCATTAAAAAAACGATTGTTTCGGTTTTCTAACAAGGGAAGGAGATTAGGTGATTCCTTCTGTCTGAGAATATTTGGTTACTGTTGAATGCGTTTCTGTAAGTTGAACTTAAGTTTGCCTTCCTCACGTGCTTAGCGATTTTCTAAAGAGCG